CTGTGATTAATCGCGATTAATCGTTTGACAGCACAAAAAAAATAACACATATTTTAGAAGAAAATAATAATAATTATATATTTTTTATTATTATTATTATTAATTTTTTTTATCTTGTAGGGTCATTAAAAGCAAATATTGAGAAATATCCTCTCTGGACATTACTTTTGGCCACTATTGTACATATGAATATACACTACTGGTCAAAAGTTTTATTTATTTATTTATAATCTTTTTATGCTCATCAAGGTTTGATTTACTTCATCAAAAACACAGTAAATATAGCAATTTTGTGAAAATGTATTAGAATTTAAAATAGCTCTTTTCTATGTCAATATATTTTAAAATATAATTTATTAATTCAAATAATTCAAAGCTGAATTTTCAGCATAACTCCAGTCTTCAGTGTCACATGATCCTTCAGAAATCATTCTAATATGCTGATTTGCTGCTCAAGAAACATTTCTGATTATTATTAATGTTGACAACTACTACTGCTACTTCATATTGATATTATATTATATATAAACCCATATTTCTATTTAAAATTGCTGCTCTGCTGTTACCCATCTTTGTGAGAGGGAAAAGAACATCTGCCTAGAAACAACATTGCTAATTATTTGAGAGACAGGAAGCCAAAATGAGAGTAACTAAAAAACAAAACAAAACACCATCCCTTTCATTCAGTTCCTCACTAAGGGCCTCCATTTAGTCCTTTTATTTTGGCAATCAACATTCAGTCATAATCACGATCATGGTCATTAGCAAAAATTTCACAGACAAAGAAGGTCCATGGTCAAACACTGCTTACTTAGGGTTAATTTCCAAACTAAATAGCATTATTTAGGTAAATGCAGTGAATCTACCTGTTCAAAGATAAACAAGCATGAATTTCAGAATATTCCTTTAAGGGGTCTGATAACATGAACTCTTACCCTGGTTGGCGTCTTCAGTGTCACATGATCCTTCAGAAATCATTCTAATATGCTGATTTGCTGCTCAAGAAACATTTCTGATTATTATTAATGTTGACAACTACTACTGCTACTTCATATTGATATTATATTATATATAAACCCATATTTCTATTTAAAATTGCTGCTCTGCTGTTACCCATCTTTGTGAGAGGGAAAAGAACATCTGCCTAGAAACAACATTGCTAATTATTTGAGAGACAGGAAGCCAAAATGAGAGTAACTAAAAAACAAAACAAAACACCATCCCTTTCATTCAGTTCCTCACTAAGGGCCTCCATTTAGTCCGCAGCCCAAAAAAACCTCCATTATCAGGTTGGTTCCTTCCCTTCAAAAGCACAAAAGAAACAAACAATCCATACGTGATCAATTTAATGTACTGTTATAAAAGCTCTCAACCGTTTACACCAATGACATCTAAGAGCTTTCCCAGAACTTTTACCTCCCCGGACCCCATTTACTTAATTAGACAGTTTGCTAATTTCCCGGGCAGCGGTGGTTAATTGCGAGGCTTTTTACGGGGATCGGGACGCAGCCGCTCACCTCTCCTGCTCCAGCCTCATTCTCTGCGTCTCCTCCTCGGTGGCCTGAGCTTCCTTCATCTTGCTCTTGCTGGACCCCTTCCGCTCCATCTTGTCCCCTTGCCTCTCGTCTTTGCGGTTTTTGCTGAACCTGCGTCAGCGGAGACAGAGTGTGGGATGAATTCAGACGGACTGTTTGTGTTTAAGGTGGTTTCTTTTTTTCAATAAGAGCACTGGCATACCTAAAGGAAATTAAACTGTCAGAATATTTGACATGTCAAGGAGAGGTACGGCCAGGTATGACAACATATCCCTTCACATTTCCACAAAAAGACTGCAATATAAAAAGTATCATCTTATCTTTAATAAGAAGTAGCAGGTATCTTATATAACACTTCTTTATGCATGTTTCTAAATGCACTGAAATAAAGTTGCACTAGAAACGCCTGTCAAAAATAAAGCTATAATAATAAAACTGGAAATTGAGCAACAGTGCAGCTTTATGGAATCAATTCCAACTTATTTACAGTAAACAATAAATAAATAAATGAATCCATCCATCTCCTGTCTGTCTGTCTGTCTGTCTATCTATCTATCTATCTATCTATTGCACTAGAAACGCCTGTCAAAAATAAAGCTATAATAATAAAACTGGAAATTGAGCAACAGTGCAGCTTTATGGAATCAATTCCAACTTATCACCAGTAAACAATAAATAAATAAATGAATCCATCCATCTCCTGTCTGTCTGTCTGTCTGTCTGTCTGTCTGTCTATCTATCTATCTATCTATCTGTCTGTCTGTATATCTGTCTGTCTGTCTGTCTATCTATCTTTCTGTCTGTCTGTCTTACAATGAGGCATTTACAATGGAAGTGAATGGGGCCAATTTGTAAATGTTAAAACACTCACTGTTTCACAATATGTATGTTAGCATGATTTTAGTGAAGGAAAAATAATAAAATAAAATAAAGTAAAACATAAAATAAAATTACATTAAATTACATTAAATAAATAATAATAAAAATAAAATAAAATCAGAATATAAGTGGTGCTTTTTCCTAATCTGAAATGCCCTGCGTTTGTTGTGAAGTGAGGGAAACTAAAATACAAGTTTCTAGTGTTTATAAATTTGTAAATGTTTTGTTTCATTTATCAGTATTTTACATCTATTTTACACACACATATATATATATATATATATATATATATAATTTTATTGTCCCTTCCTGATTCAAATCTTAAATCGTTACTCTGTCCAGCCTTTGGACAGGATGTGGTACAGACTGGCTTCTCATTCAATGGAACAACACTGCGTCATTATCAACAGCTGCCTTCGGGATCCAAAGTCTCCGAGGCATGTCTGTGATGTCATTTCCTGTGCACACTAATAGCTTTGGCTGGAGGGAAGATGCGGATTGTGGTCCGTCTTCCAGTCAAAGCAAGACCCGTAACATACGTTTCCAATAATTCTCGGAGAGTTTTATGCGTGTACAGGATTACTGGGGGCGATAATCAAATTTTGTACAAATAAAGCAATAACAGAGAGTGTGCAAATCCGTGCAGCGACAATATGAATGAGTGCCTCCGATAAAACCACATTTCCATTCGATGAACGTAATCATTTTCATTGACTAAGCTGCTTTCTCGCGATGCCTCCATTCAAAAACGAATGTGCATTGATTATGAAAATCATTTGATTACCAAACAAAAACTCACATTAATAGTCAGCGAATGGATGTGTGATGCCCTCCATTTCCCAAAAATCCCATTTCTACAGCAAACTAACCACTGTAACCCCATGTTTATTTTCTTAACTCTCTCGCCAAGGTTCACCGGAGACCACGAGAACACAAACCTTCCCCCCAAACTCATGTTTATGTAGAGCCACCGGACTGAATATATTCATGAGATGGGAAACCCTTTTCCCCAAAATATGTTTATTGTTCTACTTTCCAGGGCCTGCTCCGGCGCTCGAATGACCCTCAGTTCAGCACAGGATTGTGGGAGACATTCTCTTTTGGTTACATAAGCTTCGAAAAGCCAAACTTTCGGATACTGTACATTACCTGATTAATTAATCTACAAATGGCCCGGGTCTAGGTGTAAAAGTCCGCCGCACGCATGCTAATATCAGCGAGGCTCGATCTATCATTGCTCTCGCTGACAGCCCACCGTACATCTCAAGGACTTTTTCATTAACTCTCCTTAAATAATCTTCCTTTTCAGCACGTCCCTCTCTTAAAACCACACGTGGAGAGATATGCCGAGAAATTAATCTATTTCAAACTTCTAAGGCAAGCAAACAAGTAGGGTCAAAAGTGACTCTTTGGCTCTTTCAAAGGGTTTCTTGTGGGCTGAATGCAAATCCTTTAACCCTTACAGTAAAACTCCTGCGGGAGTCGACGTCAATTCGCAGATGAAATGGGCCGAGTGCACTGTGTTTTAGTCATCTCCACAATGCCTGAGGCTTTAAGTGTAATTGTCATTAACAAATGGAGAGACTCTGTAATGAACAACACGACTGGGTTGTATTTGATGTGCAAACAGTACTTCTGTGACCTGTGGGATGGGACTGAGTCTCCCAGTTCACTTCGTTCATTTTGATAAACATGGAAAGTAATACGCTCTGGCACGTTCCCTAGACCTCACATTGAGTGTTTGTTTTCACCATCAATCATCTTTACAAGAGCCTCTTATAAAGACCCCAAGAAATGGCTTGATGAGAAGTTGCTAGTCGGTAACAGGTCGCAAATTCAGGTATAATCATTTAAAAATTCAATTATAAATTTGGATTTAAAAATGTACAGACTATAAAATATGATTTCGGTCATTTGTTATCACTAATTAAAATTCAAACTTTAGAATCTGTAATAATGTGTTGTATCGACTTAAAAAAGTAAGTGTTTATGCTTGACTTATAAGATTAGTTCACTTTAGTTTAGCTGAGAAGGATATTTAAGTTATCTCAAAAATGTTCAACTAATTGCAGCAGCATTTTTTACAGTGCATGCCAAGATATAAATATTTTTGGTAGGTTTTGCTTGAAGAAAAATATTGTACATTTGTGTATTTGTGTATATCTTGTAACAGTGAATTCTGTAAACTCTAAGATATGCGAACAAAGATAACAAACATAAATAAAACTCCACTTCTGATTTGATGATGTCTTTAAGTAAACCAGAGCCAGTTCTTTTTGCATTCACACTGAACTCACATCTCTTTTGGCTCCGCCCTGATATGGATTCAGTCCACTATCCATTCACATTGTGGTTTTGCAGAATCCAGAGCACTTGGGTATTATTGATTATCCTACTTTCTTCAATTTAACTTTCAAAATACTGACTCTCATTCATCTCATTCTCATTCATATATCAGTGTTTTTATTGTTAACCAAAACGACTAAAAATGCAAGAACTAATCCAAATTCAAAAGCACAAACAATTACTAAAACTTAACATTTAATAAAAACTAAGAATATAAAAACAAAAGCTAATTCAAAATATCAATAAATATTAGAATAGCGTATAAATAATGCTAAAAAACAATCTGCCTTCAAGTGAATCATAATCAGTCACCTGGGATGCTCTTTGTTTGGTTTGCTTTAGAGTCGAGTTTGTTTGTTGTGTTTACATATTCTAAATATTAAAAAAACTATATATATATATATAGACACTCTTACATGACGAATCTGAAGAATCAGAATATGAACGAACAGATCTGAAATGTACAGGAACAGCCTTGACAGCTCTTCTGTGATCGGTGCGGCCAGAGCAAACGATCTGAACAATCCCTAATAGCTTCAGCAGTATTTTCTTGTCTATGCTACACAGAAACAGAACAAGCTGAATGGTGGCGACATAATTAAGTGGTAAATGAATCAGAGACCGCACAATACATGGAGACAGTGTTCTCTGTCCTTTTGTTCTCCAGCTGAATGAGCTTGAATCAGTGCTATTGGTTTTGGCTGGCGCTGTGTTGGCAGAGCTGGCAGTCAGACGGGCCGTCAGCGGGTCACAGTCAGTGTCACCCGTAATAACGCCAGAATCTGGACTCAGCAGTAGGTGAACAGTCTATTTGTGGAGAAGTTTCAAAGCTGTTTGCTCGGGCCCTCGGGTCAGTTTACCACTCACTCGCTCACAGACTCACAGCATACCACCGATCGCACAGGATTCTGCCTTAGTGATACAGCGCTCAAAGATACAGCCACAAATCCCACAACACCTTAGCAACCATATATATATATATATATATATATATATATCCTCACACACACGCCTGTGCAGGAGAGAGGGAACACTCCACCTCACACACACACACACACACACCATACATACACTTACACACACACGTTTGTTTTTCTATCACGGCAGGACCTCCCGTACATTTCTGCTTAAACCAAACACATTATAATTACTACACCCTTCCCTACAGCTTCTGCCATTTCTTACATGTGAACTTCGACCATGTTCCGAACAACACAGGAATAGTGTATTTACACACTACTCATACTATTTCTGTACTATGTAGTAAGAATGCTATGCAAATTTAATAGGTCAAACAGGTATTCAAAACAGAAAGTATGTATACTGTGGGCTCTCCTTGAATTTCCATTATCAAGAAACTGATTTAAATTTTTAACTGATCTCCTTGACTCATTATTTGACTGAACTACCAATAGGTTAGACATATGTGACTCTGCAGCACAAAAGCAGTCATAAATAGCACAGGTATATTTGTAGCAATAGCCAACAATACATTGTATGGGTCAAAATTATCCATTTTTCTTTTATGCCAAAAATCATTAGGATATTAAGTAAAGATCATGTTCCATGAAGATATTTTGTAAATTTCCTACCGTAAATATATCAAAACTTAATTTTTGATTAGTAATATGCATTGCTAAGAACTTCATTTGGACAACTTTAAAGATGATTTTCTCAGTATTTAGATTTTTTTGCACCCTCAGATTCCAGATTTTCAAAGTATATAGTACATAGTTATATCTCAGCCAAATATTGTCCTATCATAACCATAAACCATACATCAAGGGAAAGCTTATTTATTCAGCTTTCAGATGATGTAGAAATCTAAAATAAATAAAAAAATTACCCTTATGGCTGGTTTTGTGCTCCAGGGTCACATGTATACA